CTGGAAAATGAAGCAGATCTTGTCCTCAGCTATATTTGCATAACTCTTCCTGATTTCTGCACCAAATGCATTCATGCATATCTGAGTACTATACAAAACAATGACCTAGATTAGAAGCTTGTTTTAATTATGTATACTCAATTTAGTACATTTTAAAGAGTTACTCCATTTTTTTACTAATTTTAAGTGAGATGAGAATTTGTGCTTATTTGTTAAGACATCTGTCTCCAGTGAAGTTAGTTCACACAGGTTTAGAGACTCCAGTATTTCCTATTTTTTTATGTTTGTCCATCTATTTCTTTCTTTTGGTCTTTCTTTTTTGTTTTTTTTTCTTTCCTTTTCTTTCTTTTTTCCCGTCATGCTTTTTTGTTTTCTTTTGTTCTTTTTATGTTTCTATCTTTCTCGCTTTCTCTCTTTCTCGCATTCCCTCTTTCCCTCTTTCTTTCATTCCCTCTTACTTTGATTCCCTCTTTCTCTCTTTCCGTATGTATCTCTTTCACTCTCTTCTTTCTTTCTCAGGTGATAGGAGAAAGAAAATAAACACTATTTATTTTCTTCCCTCAGGTAGAAACGTTGACTTCACTGTTCATGCAGACTGCTCAGATGATGATTAAACACAAGACTAGCACACTGGAAAATCTGTAGAGAACTGTACAGGGCTAGAGCCTGTGACCTTTTGTAGGAATGTGTTCTGTGTCTGACTTCATGGGGGATTTTGACTAGAAAAGCCTAAGGAAAAGTAAAGTACAGATTTCAAGATTTGCTTTTCTGGCTGCTTGTAGTCTTTCATGGATTAAAGCATTTTAACTTCCGAGGCTTGAAACAAATTCTTAGGGTTTTTTGCACAGAGAAGCAGTGACCTACTCAGGTCTCATTACCAAACTGGTCAGTAAATGTAAAGACATTTAAGCATAAATTTGTAAAGGTATCCTTTACTCACTGTAACGAAGGCTAAATATCCCTTTAGAAATAATTTAAGACATGGTTGCGACTATATGATATATTGAATACTACATTATCCATATATTCGATGAGTCTTGAACCGTGAGGCACAGGTCCTCACAAGTATTTATGTCTCAGAGCCCCTAGGTTGATTTTAGAGACAATTAGGCACCTAAATACGTGTGTGGGTTTGCACCCAAGTCAACCCATGGTTGACTGCTTTCAGCTGCGCCATAGTAATTTCTCCACAACCAGGCCTTTACTAGCAGACACCTTGAAAACCTTGGATGCTGATGGAAGCTCTGGTTCACATGGAAGCAAGTGCTAAGAATAGGCAGGAAATCACTTTTTTTACTAGTAGGGCATAGTTTGAGGAATGTCGACTGAGGAATCGCTTGCCATTTGTCAGACTCCATATCAGGAGGGACACATGCAAGCTGTGAAGTACAAATGAATGCAGACAGAAATGGTTCAGTGTGTCTCTGTTACCTCGGGCATTTACTGGGCACAGCAAAGCAAAGGTGGTTAAACTCTGAGAAATGGCTTTAAATGCCTTTCCTCTGCAGAAGGAGGTCCGACTTTCCCTGTTCCATGACAGAAGACCATAGGCTTCCAGCTTGGGCCTGAGGTGGATACCCCCGGATGACTTGTGCTGCAGAAGCTGTGTTACAATAATGCTCCAGCTGTGCCAGGAGTACTTGCTTGAACACCTTTCAGGATTGCGTACTGAAAATGTCTTAACTGTTGAATTCAATTTGGGCCGAAACATCCGAAAGGTACCTAGTCAAGCAACTCCCCATGATCTTGGTAGAATTAAGCCTCTAACTCTAGGCATTAATTCTTGCAACTGGATAGAGCAGTGCAGAAAGAACTTTTTAAGTCTGAGCTCTTATTTTGTGTAGGAAGGTTGTGGCAGCTTCACAGGACTGAGGTCCTGCTGCATGGCCATTTGAGTCACACTGTGGTCCCCACGGGCATCTCCATGAGCACCACAGGCTGGTGATTCCCTAAATGTGCACGTGAACACTGGCTGCGCACTGCACAACTAGTCAGTTTGTGATTGGCCTTTGTTGATTATTAGGCTGTAGTGAGACGTTGTGTTTCAAAGGTCAAGATAGGAACCACTGGTACCAAACAGACAGTCACAAGTGCATACTAAAATGGTACCAGTGTAATTGTGCAACTGTTTGCTCAGGCACTGGCAGTAAAAACATAGTGACAGGTGCTTCATTAATTATGAGAGCTTGTTCAAACAGGAGAGAGAGGTTTATTTATACATTCCACAATTAAGAATCGAACTTTATTCCCTGATCCAGAGTATACTTACCACCATAGCTCCAGTGACTTTAGCTTATATAAACTGAAAATCTATCCCCTGATGTTTTTTGCTTTGTTAATTCTCTGATTATAACTATTTATCAAATAACCCCAGAATACATTTACCATCATTGAACTAGTACTCTGAAAATATTTTAAAAGAGGCATTTTAAGACTTTTCTTGTGGCCATATGCTCAGTAACAGGAATAATACAGTTTGCTATGATGAGATCATACACAGAGGAGAAAGAAGGATATGATCAGACAAAATCACACAGATAAGTGCTATCTGTGTTACCAGGAGGGATCATGGCTGGGCTATCATGTGGTTGTAACTGCACAGCTTAGGTTTTTGTTCTTAATCACACTGATGAGCACAAGCAATACAGCATGAGGGCTGGGGATTTCCAGAGCATTAGCAATCACTGAAGACAGAGCATATGAGAAACACGTGCTAAGTTTTCATGCTAAGAAGTCTGACAAATCTGTGGGAACTGGAGGTCTGGATGAGTTAAGTTGATATGAAGATGCTTTCCCTTTAGAAAAAGAACAAAAAATATTCTTAGCATTTTCTTTGGCTCCACTTAAAAGCACCATTATGGCCTGTATAATCCTGAAATGGGAAGGTTTCTTAAGCTATGATACAGGAAAGACAACATGGCATGTAGGTTATCTTAAAATAGAGGCTGTTCCTTAGCTGCCTCCCACTTGACTGTCAGAGTATATAGCACCACCCCTTGTATCAGTAACCCCTATGAAAATTAATGCCATGCAGAGAAATGAAAGGGGAAGGGAGGGTCAGGCAGAGCTTAATCAGACAGGCAAATCCACCTCCAAAAACCTTCCACTCTCCTTTCTCCAATACCTCTTTAGCATTTTTGCCCAAAAAACTAAATTTAATAAAATAAATTAAAAAAAAATCCCCCAGCAATGACATGCATCAGGATTTTGTTGAACCGGACGGTGTGTTAGTGCAAAACAGAAAGATGGTCCCTGCCTCCTCCCAAATAAATGTATTATTATTCTGCCGAGTAACTAGCGATAGGACGAGAGGAAATGGCCTCAAGTTGCGCCAGGGGAGGTTTAGATTGGACATGAGGAAAAATTTCTTCACCAAAAGGGTTGTCAAGCATTGGACCAGGCTGCCCA